CTTGCTTCAGGTGTCAGGACTTACCTCATACTGTACTTAAACTTGACTTTACGTTGGTATTGATCTTCTGAGTACCAGGGTTTTATCGCCCATTCACATGGAACCTATTTCTTTGAATTATTCAGTTCTTTTATTTAATTATATAATTCTGGAGTTATTTTCCTTGAAGATCTATTACTACCATCATGGGAAGTGTAGCCTTTTATACTTCTCTGCCATTGCTTCATTATTCATAAAAATAAACTGCCAGGATTTTCTGACTTTTTGTATTTTCCTGAAACCAAATCTAAGTTTTTGTTTTAATTAGTATAGTATTCTGTATATCTTGTGGGTTATTCAGAACTTCCCTATTTCCTTTAAAGGAAAATTATACCCAGATTTGCAAGGAAAATATTATGATGGTGTTTTTAAGACTTTTACCACATCTTTTCACCAGATGTGTATCATTTACTTTCATTTCTTGGGTTTTCCTTTAAGGAGTTTTTTTTGGGTTTGGGTTGTTTTGTTTCTGTTTTTGTGTTTTGGATTCTAGGTACTAGATTCTAGATCACATTATTTGTTTCTTTCTCTGACTTAAAGTACTTTATTTTTTTTTTAAGATTTTATTTTTTTAAAGTGATCTCTACACCCAACATGGGACTCAAACTCACAGTCCAGAGGTCAAGAACGCAAGTTCTACTGACTGAGCCAACCAGACGCCCTATTAATGTAGTTGTTACTGATTGATGTCTTGTTGGTTACTGTACTAATACATGGCCAACCATTTGCTTATTAATGAACTTTAAGCCATTTTCAGTGCTTTGACACTTTTAACAATGCTGGATACGGGGCGCCTGGGTGGCGCAGTCGGTTAAGCGTCCGACTTCAACCAGGTCACGATCTCACGGTCCGTGAGTTCGAGCCCCGCGTCGGGCTCTGGGCTGATGGCTCAGAGCCTGGAGCCTGTTTCCGATTCTGTGTCTCCCTCTCTCTCTGCCCCTCGCCCGTTCATGCTCTGTCTCTCTCTGTCCCAAAAATAAATAAACGTTGAAAAAAAAAAAATTAAAAAAAAAAAAAATAACAATGCTGGATATAATCCTCCTATATATGGCCGTAAGTCCTTGTGGCCTTATTTTTATAGGATGGATACAAGTGGGATTATTGGATCAGTGGGCCCTGATTTTTTTTTCATCTCAATGGAAATTTCCATGTTACTTCCCTAAGATAGAACTGAGAAGGGATGGGAAAGGTGGTAATTTTTAGCTCTGCCAACAATCTTTTAAGAGTACTCATTTGCCCATAACCATATCAGCAATGGATTTTATCAATTCATTTGATTTTTTGTTTTTTATTTTAAAGTAATTATAGACTCCCAGGAAACTGGGAAAGTAATCCCATGTATACCTCACCCAGCTTCCTCCAGTGGTAACATAGTGCAACATCAAAACCAGGAAATTGATGTTAGCACAGTATTGTTAACTAAGATGTGGATTCATTTGATTTCCAGTCTAATCAGCGGTATCTTGATTGAATTTTTTCCCCTTTGATCACTAAGAAGTTTGGGCTTCCTTTTAAGTGTTCTATAGGCCATTTACATACTTGTTTTATGATCACTTATTCATATCCTTTACCACTTAAAAAAAATTTTTTTAAGTTATTTATTAATTTTGAGAGAGAAAGAGAGAGCACAAGCTGGGGAGGGGCAGAGAGAAAGAGAGAATCCCAAGCAGGCTCCGCACCATCAGCGCAGAGCCCAATGTGGGGCTCGAACCTACAAACTGTACCTGAGCCGAGATCAAGAGTTGGATGCTTAACCGATGGCACTGCTCAGGCTCCCTCTTTATCCACTTTTTTAAATTGGTTGTTTGTGTTTTCCTAAAAGCAGCTCTTGTAGGACTGTTCATTATTTTGTCTGCCATTTGTTTCACAGTTACTCCTTTCAACTTCATATACTGTCTACAGTTTGGTTGATCTTATTTTTTTCCTACATAGAGATGTTTATTTTTATTTAGTCATTGTTTCTCTTTTGTGGTTTTTAGGTTTTTCTGTCTTATTTAGAAAGGTTTATCTATCTTGCAGTGATACACTATTTTCCTTTTAATAATCTCCTATTTTTTTACAGTTTGGCCTTTAATCCATTTGGAATGTTGTGCATATACTGTGAAAAATTATTTTCCCCAGATGAATAACATGCTGTGCCAGCACTACTTAACATAAACTATTTTATTTACAATTCTTTTGGTTGCTTTTGACTTAAAATCTCAGCAGTTCCAAAGGTAGGATCGGCTTAAGGCAAGGCTTGATAGAACTGCAAAAGTAACATTGCTAAAATTATTGCTGTTTTCCTTTTTTTTCTTTCGTCAGTTCAGTGCCTTTTTGGGTGTTGTATTTTTCCCTATAATTCTTATCCAACCCTTCCTTTGTCTGTCCTATGTGTTGTTTACCCCAAATCCAGATACTTTCCTCATGGTCACATGATTGAAAGGTTTAGGCATTACTTCATCTTACTGCTAAGGGGAAGAGAAGGAGTTTCTTTTCTTAAATGCCCAATAGCTCCTAGGATTGTTTCCCCTGATTAAGTCATGTGTCTGTTCCTGAATCTGTTACTGTGGGGGTGGGGAATGGGGGTGCTTTTTCAACTGATTGGCTTTTTCAACCAGGAATCATGGTTTAACAGTTTGAATTTACACCTGTGATGCACAGGGGGTTGAATCTATCTCAACCACATGTGTGAGAGTGGCAGAGGAATAATGTTTCATGGGAAATTTTAGGTATTGTCTTCAGAAGAGGGAATAGATAGATGCTAGGTAGTCAAACCACAGGTGACCATGTCATGAGCCTGTCTCCTTCCTACTACACAGATCATACAGATAGGTACAGAATTGTACAGTTAACAAAAATCTCACTTTTTACATTTATTAGCTGTTTCTGTATTTTGTTTTGTTTTAACAACAGTCTAGAGTGTTCATTTGCCTATTTATTTTGTCTTAGAAACATATTACTTCAATAATAATAGCATACAGTACATTTTAATATCTTTTTAAGTCTCCCATCATTTTTTGCCCAGAGATTTTTTTTTTAAGTTTATTTATTTTTTTGAGAGAGAGAGTGAGAGAGAGCACGAGCACAAGTAGGGGAGGGTTAGAAAGAGAGGGAGAGAGAGAATTCTAAGCAGATTCTAGGCTGTCAATACAGAGCTCGACTTGGGGCCTAAGATCATGAGATCATGACCTGAGCCAAAATCATGGTCGCTTAACTGACTGAGCCACCCGCCCAGGTGCCCCACCCAGAAATTTCTTATATATTTATGTGATATAAACTTTGGAATTCTGACTAGAATTGAAGTGTGTGTGTGTGTGTGTGTGTGTGTGTGTGTGTGTGTGTGTGTGTTTTAAGTAGGCTCCAATGTGGAACTTTGTACTCACGACTCTGAGATAAGAGTTGTATATTTAACCAACTGAGTCACCCAGTTGCCCTGCAGTATGTGTGTTTTTAAGATGGAAGTTCCAAATTATGTAAACATAACTATGAAAATCAACCTGGAGAGTCTCAACACTTTCTTCAGGAAAACAAAAAAAATTTTTTTTTTAATTTTCTTGGTTGCCCTCCATCTTCTTAACAGTTTTTGACCCTCAACACTTTCATAACTATCAGAAGACAGTGGACCCATGGTCCTGCTCTCCCCCATAGACAACTCTTTACGTATATCCAAGATACCTAGCAGCCTCTTCTATTAGGCTTATTTGGGTTTTTGAGTGGTACCAACAGAGAATTAAGAGAGAGAACAGCTGGAAATGTACAAATAAGCTCAGGTATTAGGAGGAAAAAAACCTTTTTAAATTAAGGATGTCACACATCTATTATATTGCTATTTGTTAGATAAGTACAAAAAGATAGGAAAATGAAATGTGGTAACAGAAAGGAAAGTATTATATTTATATTTTTTTACAGATAATCTATTATATACCTAAAGCTCTAGAGGTTTGGTGAATGTATATTGAAATTAGTAAACATTTAACCAAGGTGTTACAAAGAAGATAAATGTTCTAAAGCCTACTTTACCTCTTTAAGTGAGCTTGTAGTAGATCTAAGTACAAGAGACTATTGCATTTTATATATATATATGGCATCACTGTGTCATACACTTGAAACTAATATGAGTAATATATGTCAATTATATCAATAAAAATGTAAAAAATAAATATGAGACCATACAAACGTGTTCTTTCACACCTCAGATTCAGTCTGTTGCATCAGTGTGCATGGAGATAGATATATATGTTTTTTATTAATATTGTTTGTTTGAATCTGTATTTGTGTTCCCCGGTTTTTACTTCTGGACATGTAAAGCTTGTGAAAACTTCTGCTAAATGAAGGAGAATCTTTTTTTTTTTTCCTTTTTTAATTTTTATTTATTTTTTTTAATGTTTTATTTATTCTTGAGAGAGAGACAGACAGACAGACAGACAGAGTGTGAGCAGGGAGGGGCCAGAGAGAAGAGAGCACAGAATCGGCAGGCTCCGGAAGCCGGGTGTCAACTTTGAAAGAGCCTGGCGCGGGGCTGCCGACTCTGACATTGAATGTGATCTGAGCGGACGCCCCAACCAGCTGAGCCTTGTTGCTCGCTTCTTTCTTTCTTTCTTTCTTTCTTTCTTTCTTTCTTTCTTTCTTATTTTAGCTTTATGCAGGTATAAATTGACAAAATTGTAAGTGAATTACAATATTTGTAAAATATATTTGTAATAACTCCTGTGAGGTACATGTTCTCTTGCATGTTAGCTACTGCATCAGGATGAAGAAAATTAAAGAATTAATTTTTCTTTAGATACACGGGGATAAATTTTACATCCATTTCTCCGTGGCATCCTTTCTGTAGGTTGATATTATAGTTTATAAAATGTGTTTATGTGAAATGATGTTGATCAGTTAGTTTTATCTTAAGTCAGTGTCATGTAGGATACTCAGAGACAGAAACTAATCATTGTGTTCCTCTTGTTCTTTTTTTTATTTTTCCTTTGCAGTGGGACTTCCCCTCTTGCATGCCTGAATGCAATGTTGCACACAAACTCCCGAGGTGAAGAGGGCATCTTCTATAAGGTTCCAGGTAGAATGGGCGTATATACTTTGAAGGTAAATATTTTTGTTAGGACGTCACTTAAAAACTAAAATCGGGAAGAGGTAATATGTTCAACTCTGTATCCTGCACAGTTTTTTTTACTAATCTGTAACCATCTGTAGGTAGACCAGAAAAGTAATTTTATTTTTTATTCTTTATTATAATGCTATCTTGAAAGGATGAACTGAAAATGACTTCCAGTGACTTTTTAAGGGACCTCACAACATTTGAATAATGAGTGTTATCTTGGAGCTACCGCCTTGATGCTTTATATTACTTTGTGATTTTATTCTTGTAGCCTGGATGCTTCATATTACTTTGTGACTTTATTCTCCATTAAATTCAGAGCTGCAGTTCTCCTTTTGAAATGGAGAAAAAGCCAAAGTTCTTGCTTAGTGTTGGCCAGGTAGGATAAGAACCGGAATATGGACCCAGATCTGACTGGATTCCTGACTGAGTCTTTGTTCTTTTTTATCCTAATAGTCTTGCTGATTTCTGATTCTGGCACTGAGGTCCCTTCAGTGACAAACAAGAAAACCAATTTAAAGGAGTTTGATTAAAACAGAGAGTTTACTATAGAACTATAAATTCTGAGGAAACTCAGCCTGGATCCAGGAGCTCAAATGATGTCATCAGGGATTGGTCTCTGTCCTTCTTTTGGCTTCATTCTCAGGCAGGCTCTCTCCTATTGTACATGACTTCACTGTCCACCCCAAATCTGCAGGCTGTAAGTCTGGAGAGAAAAGAGCCTTGAGTCTGAAGTGGGAGCCCTCCAGTTAGTTTTGATTTGGTTTAATTGGTTTGGTTTGGCCCAGCCCATGTGTCTATACTTGAATAATGAATGCTCTGAGGCTTCTGATTGGCTGTACACAAGTTCATGATCACTCTCTCTCTCTTTTTTTTAATGTTTACTTATTTTTGAGAAAGTATGAGCAAAGGAGGAGCAGAGAGAGAGGGGGACAGAGGATTTGAAGTAGACTCCGGGCTGATGCCCCAGACCACTTTTGATGTGAGGTTGAGGGTAAGCCCTCTGCCAGACGAATTCAGGAAGAGGGTTGTATGCCAGAGGAAATTATCAGCAGGAGGAGAATTAATGCTTGGCTTGCACTGACTGTTATCCATGTGTACGTGGGACTCTGTCCCCTCTTTTTAGTTTTGGGCTGTCGTCATCACTATGTTCAGTGGTTTTGTGTAGCCCACTAACATTAGAAAGTTCTAATTTACCTATAAAACCTCCTTTTTATACACTTTGTTAAACTTCTGTGATTAGGGACTCTACTCCCACAGGGAGCTTTTTGTGTTTCTTTTAAGTTTTAGTTGTTCTAGACCTTCCATATTATTAATAACATTAATTAAAAGCCTACTCTATGCTGAGCACTGTGCAGGTCATAAAGAAGAAACTGGACGCTGATCTCTCGACTCTCACATAGTTATTAAAGCACTTGCATACTGACAAAATGTACTGTGATATAAAGTACTATACTATAAGGCCTCATGATCATGTAGAGAAATAAAGATTAATTTTGAATAAAAGGATCTAGAAAGCTTTTTTTTTTAACTTGTAAGATTTGAGATAAACTTTTACAAATAAGTAATGGGAGGGGGCCTTCCAAGGATAAGGAAATAGCTTAAGTAAAGGCACAGATAGAAAGATTCAGAATGGATTTGAAAATAGAGTAAATTAGACTGGTTACCATAATCTGTGCGTGGGCTAGTGTGGTAACGGGTTGGGGGTGGGGTTAACATGAGGTAAAGATCCAACTTTGGAGGCTTTTGAAGACCTGACTTAGCAGTTTGAGAGAGAAAAAAAGAGAGATAGCTGAGGAGATGGCAGAGGTTTTTCAGGAAAATAGCATGATCAAATCTGTTAGGAAGATAATTCAAGTAGGATAGATTTAAGGGTAAAGCAGGGATTGTCTGCAAGAGATAATTGGCCTGAACCATGAGAGTGGTAAAAGAGATAGAGGCGAGGGACATTACAGAACTAAAATGTATACTATATGGAGTTGGTAATGATGAGGTGAAATGATTCTGAGATTTGGGGCGTGCACAGTTGACCAGCTGATCCTGAAAGGGTCACAAGTTTAAGTTTAAGAAGCATTATGTTTGTACTTAAAATACTTGTTGAACCTACGGGTCAGGAGGTCTGGCTGGCAACTAACTGTAAAAGTCCTGCATTTTGAAGGAAAGAATACAAAAATATAGGGTGTGTATTTTAAGAAAGTATATAACATAAGAAATGACTTAGAAATGGCACTAGGATATAATCATAAGTGGGAAGTATCAGTTCCTTACTAGATCAGAGGTTATTATCTTGGCTGTAATGTTCTGAGTGCCAGTTGTAGGTAGGAGGGTTACATGTCGGAATTATTTTTTATCTGATTATAAAAATTAATTATGTGGGAAAATAAAAAAAATACATTGAGAGGAAAAAAGAACCATCCATAGTTTCATACCTTAGAAATAACATTAATATGTATGTTTATATGTGTATATTTTTATATACTATATACATATATAGTAGTTAATATTTATTAAGCTCTTATTATATGCCAGGCACTATTCTAAGCATTTTACATTTAACTCATTTAATTTCTGAATAATCTTTTAAGGTAGGTACTATTATCCCCATGGTATAGACAGGTAAACTGAAGCATATGAGGTTAAGACTTTGGCCAAAGCCGCATAATTAGAAGATAAAGCCAGAATTCAAACCCAGACAGTTTTTATTTCCAAGTTCTTGATCTTGCAGCATATACTGTTATATTTCTCATATACTGTGCTGACACAGGTTATCCTTTCTGATTAGCAATCTCACTATCCAACGTAGAAACCAAAGATTCTTATGAGGTTTTTTTTAAAATTTTTTTTTAATGTTTATTTATTTTTGACAGAGACAGAGACAGAATGTGAGTGGGTTAGGGGCAGAGAGAGAGAGGGAGACACAGAAGCAGAATCAGGCTCCAGGCTCTGAGCTGTCAGCACAGAACCCGACGCGGGGCTTGAACTCACGAGCTGTGAGATCATGACCTGAGCCGAAGTCAGACGCTCAACCGACTGAGCCACCCAGGCACCCAAGTGTTTAAAAAAAATTATTCCTTTTGCGGTGCCTGGCTGGCTCAGTTGGTAGGACATTCTGGTAGAGCACGTGATTCTTGATCTTGGGGTTGTAAGTTCGAGCCCCATGTTTTAAGATTACTTAAAAATACAAAAAAAATTTTTAATTTCTTTTATATTTGACTCTTGCTACTTATTAACCAATATGTAGGAATCAGAGTCAAATAATACAGTATCTGTTCCTAACCAGACTCAACTGAATTCATAATACATAATGGTACATACATGCAAATAATGTGTGTGTGTATATATATATATATGTGTGTGTGTGTGTATATATATATATGTGTGTGTGTATATATATATATATATATATATATATATGGATGATGAATATATCTACCTTTTACAAAATTTTTATTATATACTTGTTTTATTCTGAACATTTCCTCATTTACTTGGACTTAATATATTTCCAGTTTTTGTCTAATTTGAGCCTCTGTATTGTGCTTGCATATGATTGTCATGTATAATTTTTATCTTTGGATGTAGATGGAAACATTAGCTAAATTGACCCAAAGAAGAGAGATGACAGGAATTCAGAAAATATTGCTGGTTCTGCTACTGAATCCTATAATACTAAAAATTAATCAGCACAGTTAAGTTGCAAACAATGCATATCAGAAATTTAATTCCTATTTGCTGAAATGGTAATGATTAATCCTAATTGGATGCCTACATTTTCAGAAAGATGTGCCGGATGGGGTGAAAGAGCTATCAGAAGGTTCAGAAGAAAGCAGTGATGGTCAGTCAGATTCCCAGAGTTCTGAGAACAGCAGCAGCAGCAGTGATGGTGGCAGCAACAAGGAGGGAAAAAAGAGCAGGTGGAAAAGGAAAGGTAAATCCACCTGATCTCTCAATAAAGTACTGAATGCTATAGGACAAATGCCCTTGTTAGCTCCTCTTTTTTCAGACCCTAGGACAGTCCGTCTCTTTCCCTTTCCCTTTAGATCGGTACCGTCCAGTTGAATTTCTTGCAGTGATGGAAATGCCCTGTGTCTATGGAGGTCCAACCCAACATAGCCAGTAGCTACACGTGTCTATTGAGCCCTTCAAATATGGCAGTTTGGGAACTGAATTTTTATTCTTTTTTAACTTAAATAGCCACATGTGGCTAGTGGCTATCGGTTGGACAACATAGCTCTAGGTTTATTTATTTATTTATTTTTTATTTTTTATTGTTTTCAGTATATGAAATTTATTGTCAAATTGGTTTCCATATATAGCTCTAGGTTTTATCTGGATTTATTTTCAGTTCTTGGTCAGCCATAGCCTTTTTTTTTTTTTTTTTTTTTTTTTTTTTTTTTTAAAGACTGTTCTAATTTTTTTTCTTGTCCTTTTTATTTTATTTTTTTTTAATTTTTTTTTTTTCAACGTTTATTTATTTTTGGGACAGAGAGAGACAGAGCATGAACGGGGGAGGGGCAGAGAGAGAGAGGGAGACACAGAATCGGAAACAGGCTCCAGGCTCTGAGCCATCAGCCCAGAGCCTGACGCGGGGCTCGAACTCACGGACCGCGAGATCGTGACCTGGCTGAAGTCAGACGCTTAACCGACTGCGCCACCCAGGCGCCCCTTTTTCTTGTCCTTTTTAATCTTCTCTTCTAAAATTTGAGCATTTTTTGCTCTAACAGCTATATGCTTACTAGGAAAAGAATGCTTTTCATTTCTGCTAGCAAAGCCTAAATTTAGTCTGATGGTCTTTGCTCTTTCCTGCTTGGTGTCTGCTTCATAGCTTATCCAAAAAACTTTTTTTAGGGAATAGTGTCTTTGTTGCTACAACTTACCTGAGATGGATTTTCCACTTAAGGATGCATTTTATTATCTATTCTTGCCGATTATCTGTAGCTTCTTGTCAGAGTCTTCTTAAAGAGGGCAAATTGTTTTCACCTCAGTATTCATAAATTCAGCTGTACATGCAGGGCAGATTTTAAGCCAAATCATGGTGGTTTCTTTACAAGGACTGATATGGGGATATTCCAGAACAAAATAGACATCCGAGAGTGTCCCTAGCTTGGATATCCTCTTAGGTTTGTGTTATAGGTCAGCTCTCTGTGGATCTAGAAACGAGAGTTATATATGTAGGAATCCTGGATTCATTAATTTTAGGTGCCTTTGGAACTATTGATGTGGAACTGTATGAGAAAAGCAGTCTGATTCATTACCATCACTGCATTCATGCATGTGCTACTCCTGGAGAGAACTGAGATGATTGGTGGCATCATTTGTGTCCTCTGGTAAAGCTACCACACATGCAATTTGGGCACATTTTGTAATCAGGATTTTAGCTTTAAGATCAGAACCACTTAAGAGAGCAACCTAGACCTCAGATACTAGGAACAAATGGTATAAAGTCAAATAAAGCTAGTACCTGTGGTAATTATTCGTGTGTGTGTGTGTGTGTGTGTGTGTGTGTGTGTGTGTGTGTGTATACACACCCTGTCAGTAGTGAAAGGAGGTGTGGTCCATGGCTTTACATTCCTTAGATTCCACTAAGGATCTTTTTTTGGGAGGGTGTAGCCAAAAGTGGTAAGGGGTCTATATCTCCTGCTTGTCCCCAGCTTAAACTTTTAAGTTTGGAAATTGTTGTTCTAAGATTAGGAACCAAGCCAAGTCATTAAGCAAGAGAAGCAGTTAGCAAGATTCATAATTTCTAGATATGGCTGGAAACAGAAATCAATAACAACGTTGGTCAGACTAGTGAATTTGGGAACAAAATCATGGTCTTGGAGGTCTCTCCTTTTCAATAGCCACATATGCAGCAGTAGCTGTTGTGAGTAGGGGCTGTTACATGTTTGGTAAAGCCTGTCTCTAAGAAATTAAGAGGAGGGGCGCCTGGGTGGCTCAGTCGGTTGAGCGAACGACTTCGGCTCAGGTCACGATTTCGCGGTCTGAGTTCGAGCCCCGCGTCAGGCTCTGTGCTGACAGCTCAGAGCCTGGAGCCTGCTTCCGATTCTGTGTCTCTCTCTCTCTGACCCTCCCCCGTTCATGCTCTGTCTCTCTCTGTCTCAAAAATAAATAAACGTTAAAGAAATAGCAATAGAATCCCGTTGTTATAGGTTAATAGATCTAAAATAGCATAACCTTGTGCTATGCTTGGCATAGTAATAGAAGATATTTAACAGGGAAGTAGTAGCAAATTCAGAATTGTGATCTAAACAAATTGTTATTGAACTGCCTTTGTATTCATTGCTTTTCTAGAAATTATCACATTATTGAGTATTTATCCTCAGTTTACGTTAAGATGAGATGTTCTGTAAAGCTCTTTTCTCATTATAGGAAGTTCAGTAAACTAAGAGTAGAATGGGCTAAATGGTGTTTGGAAGATAAAGATAAGAGGGGCGCATGATGTCATGTAGAATTCATGTTTACTCTTTGCTGAGCTACCAGTAACGAAGAATGATTTCATTTCTCATAGAAAGTGCTTCTCTCATTCATGGGTCATACATATGGCATATGGCTTAGATAGGTAAATTTTTAGGTGTATATTATATAATCCGGGAATGTTTTTGTAGTCCAGTGCAAATGAAAGTGGAAAACTTGTAGTTAGCAGTGCTAGTAGCAACATGCAGCAGAGCAGTTTTAAATCAGTTACAGTTATTAATAAAGGGAAAGCAAAGTAATTGTGCCTATTCTGTTTTCTTATTTAGGGCTGTTACTCTCAATCTGACATCATTTTATTTCAAATGCATTGTAAGACAGGAAGAACATTGAGATAGTATCAAAACCCACTTCCTTTTATGTACAAAAATAAAGAGCTCTGACAGCAGAACTGGTACTTCTAGTTGAAAATCGATAGAACCTTTCTTGATAATAGGTATACCTTTCAGCCAAATAGGCACAGAGAACAGAACTTTGAAATTCAGTCCAATATTAAAACTAGTTTATTGATTTCCATGTAAAGTGGAAGAACTTAGAAGTTCATAGCTTTGGTTCCTAATTGTCAGACAGGAAACCATGTTCAGAGAAGAGCTTTATGGGATTCCATGCCAAGGTAAGGCGGAGTAAATCTAGAAAAAAATGATTAGAGTCAACTTTTTTGTTGCTTTTTTTTTTTTTTATAGGATCATAGCTAAGTGAAGTCTCTGTCTTTTCCCCCAAATAAAATACAAATATTGCAGCATGAAGCAAATATAGAAGTATTATTTTTATCTTCTGATAGAAAAAAGTTTTGTTAAATTTTGGCCTGCTTTTAAAATGTCTTAAAAGAAAAATTAATTATGTAAGATACACCTTTTGACTTACAAGGAATTACAAATTCTTTCCAGGGGCATGATCTAATGTTAATTTTATCGCTTATGCAGAGGTATTTTAAATCAGAAATTTGACAAATACTATGTTTGGAGTTATTTAAAATACCAAAGACCTGCCTGCCCTATAACATCATTTATACATGTAAGTTTACTAAATGAGGATGATTATTTATAGAAATGTCTCCTTTAAAAATTAGTACACTGTGGAGAAAAACTCCTTTGGGCAAAGTTAACTTATGTGGAGAGAGAGAGCTTTGAGAGAGATGTTCTCTTTCTTCTCTGGTGTGGTTGGTGGCTGAGTCAGAGGTTTTAGCTGTCATATATTAAGGATGGCTCCACTGTTAGGACTTGGATAGGTAGGGTACCCAGGTATCCTCTCCATCTTTGATTAGGAGATTGTTCGAATATTAATTGTAGCCACACCCTGCCAAGTTTGAAGGAGACTGCACTTGGAGTAGGAAGAGGGTACATAAAAAACTAAAAGTCTGTTAACTTCTAGAAATGAAACTACTCAAAAGAAAACTATTGTGAAAAAAGAACTCTCCCTTAAGAGAAGGATTACTGTTGATGAAAATTAAAACAGTTTGGATACTTCAGTTGTTATCAGTCTTTCAGCTGTTAATCCTTCAATTGTAGGAAGCTAAGCTTCACTTGTAATGTTACTGCTTCATTATTTCTGATAGTATTTCTTAAAAAAAAATTTTTTTTTTGTCATGTATTTATTTTTGACAGACAGAGACAGAGCATAAGTGGGGGAGGGGCAGAGAGAGAAGGAAACACAGAATCTGAAGCAGGCTCCAGGCTCTGAGCTGTCAGCACGGAGCCTGACACGGGGCTCAAACCCATGAACCATGAGATCATGACCTGAACTGAAGTTGGATGATTAATGACTGAGCCACCCAGGCACCTCTCTGATAATATTTCTGATGCTTCAGAGGGACCCATCAAATATCTTCAGGAAAAAAGAAAGTAGTCAGGGTCTATTTGCTAAGGCCTCTAATTCAGAGGCATCTAGCATGGATAGTCTGTATCCTTTTGATCTTGTTCAGTATAATCATCCATTGAAATGGAAAATTCTCAGTGGTGTAATATATCTGAAAAGTAGTACTTTCTGAACACGTACTCAGTGGGTAGTGCCAGTTATCCAACAATCTGAAACTACTTGAGTAAACTATGTAAAACTGGCTTTAATGAGCCTCAAGTTCTGAAATTTATTTTAAATAGTTTTCTGAAAACAATCTTAAGCTTAAAAACTCATTTCTCTACTAGTTTGCTGGGTTTTAAAAATCAAATAGTAAGTAACTGCTGATCTTTTTATCAGAATTTGTTAATATTGTATCTATGTGTTTATATGAAAGCAAACATTTTTGTTTCTAATCAGATACTGAATATGTTCTCTAAATACAAGTGCTTTTAAGCTGTTGAGCAGTCCACATTGAAGTACCAATAGGTCAGGATATACTTGGGAAGTATTCTTTAGGCCATTAGTTGATTTATAAAACGAAAGAATTATCTCTATTTAAAATGCTTGCCACACTCACTCATTCTCCAATACATATGTATTATTTGCCAGATATTTGGGAAA